ACTCACTTAAGTATTTAATATTTTACAAATTTTTCAATACCCCTTCCTAAAAATTCAAAAGGAAAAAATCTGTTAAGAATTTAAATAATAATTATTGCGTATTTTAATTAGTACCATAAGCACAAGAGAATTTTTCTGCTTTATTTTCAATAAATTAAATCAAAATTTTTTTCCATCAGTTTTTCTTACAATTACAATTAAGTTTATTGTTAATTCCCTTTCTTTTGTAATTTATTTTTTCTTTCTCCTACCAATCCAGCCATTAAAAAAGATGAAGCCCCGTCTAAAGAATTACTAGTTTGTTGTGTTGAACTAGTCGAATGTCTTGTTTGAACTGTAATAGAAGCCGAAGTTTCATCACTTCCAAATTCATTTGTTGCTATACAAGTATAGATACCGGCATCCTTTAATTTTGAAATAAGATAAAGATTAATTAGAATTACCTCCATTTTAATATTAAAAACTTCTAAAGAAGCAACTCCACTCTTAAAAAGTGCTTGTGCTCGTTGATCATCTACTGGTTTTCCATCTTTTATCCATTTAATTTTTGCTGGAGGGTCTGATGTAACTGTACAAATTAATTTACATGTGTGGTTCTTCTGGATAAGTCGAGGTCGAAGTAAAAAACTGAAATGAGGAGGGCCTTTTTCAACAATTGATGTAGTAGATGCTTCTTGAATAAGTGGTTGTCGAATTGTAGGTATTTGTTGTGGGAGGATTTCTTTTCCTTAAGAATTTTTTTAAATTAATATTTTTATTTGTTATTTAGTTTTCAGATTTAATATCAAGACAGGAAGAATTCATATAATTAAAAGAATTCTTTTTTTAACAAAAAGCTAGTTTTATTGGAATCTAATAAAAACTCCTTACCCCAACAAAAATTAGGCCCTTAAAATATTTTATTTATAATCCCTACTTTTTCCATCCTTCACTAGTACAATTAGCATTGCACTACATTCTCTCTTGCCAAATTCATTCTCTGCCCTAACCAAATAATCTCCTTGATCTTCACTTTTTATTTCAGTTATCGTCATTGCCCTATCATTTCCATTCATTTGTTGACGATATTTGCCAAAAGAACCCTCAGATATTTTTATTTCCTTTTCATTTTTCCACCTAATTTTTAAAAAGAAATTTAAATAATTTTTTAAATTAAAAATTAACCAGCTTATACGTATTGGTACAGGAGAAAGTATTTTGTAAAAGAAAGAAGCATTCATTCCCTCATTTGCTTGTGTTGGTCTAGGTCGAATGATAAAACGAGGAGGTCCATCATTTTGGTCAAAAAGAGTTTCACGTATTTTGTACCGATCAAAATGAAGTTTAGATAGAGAGCTAAATTGTGATATACGGCCAAGGGAAAGTCGAGGTTCAGGCCAAGCATCCTTAAATATTTAAAAAATATTTCTTTAGTTAAAGAACAGTTTCTAGACGAAGCTTGATTCGAAAAAATATTTAAATTTTCCTAATCTGAAAATTTTTCCTTCCTTTCTAAATCAAAAACCAACAGTCTTTGTTCTCTATTTATTAAAAAAAATTAAAAAATTATTTTTACATATTTTCTTCGAACAAATTCTCTAGATTTGTAGTATCTCTCTGAAGGAATAATATTTTCATTCATATTATTTTTATCTCTTCTCTGTGTAAGCCAAGGGTGATTCAAAGCATCGTGTATATTCATTCTACATTGTTTATCCTCAACAAGTAATCTTCGAATAAAATCTTTAGCTTCTTCAGATATATTTTCAAATTCTGGTTTTTTGTTTATTTCATTCAAAATATTTCCATCAAAATTAGAAATGCCAGAAAGGAGAACTTTAGTAAGAATTCCAATATTCCACATGTCTGTATTAAACCCAATTTTTTGTCCACTTAAAACTTCAGGAGCTGAATATTCGGAATTGACTGAAATGTTTTTAAAAAATAATTATTTTTTATTAAAAATTCCCACAAAATTACCTGTTGCTATTTTAACTTCTTTACCCGGATTTAATTTAGTTGTCATACTAAAATCATTAATTTTTAATTTATCACTTGTTTTTGTAGTAAATAAAATATTTTCTGGTTTCAAGTCCAAATGTACATAGGATAACTATAAATTAATTAAAAATAATTTATTTAAAATTTACTTCATGCATATATTTAATTGCCTCACAAATTTGTTTAATATAATTTTGTGCTTTCCATTCATTCATTTGTTTGTCTTTACTAATTTTTTCAAGCAATTCATCTCCTGACATAAACTAAAAAATTAAGATAATTAATTATTTAGCTTAAATTTTATAATGATCAAAAACAAAAATTAAAAACGTGTGGAACTACGTGCTCTCTAAGAGGCAAAAGTCTAAATTGTTAATTATAAGACTGTCAATATTTCTGAAATATAGCGCCGAATACAAGTATGGATATTTTGTAGAAATTGCTTCAAAAAATTTTTTATGCTTAGGCAAGTCAAAGGAAATATAATAAATTTACTTCGAACATTTATAATTTTATTACTTAAATAATTTATACCTCATATATCATGATAATCTCTTGATCTATTTCAAAGGCATCATGTAAAGAAATTAAGGAGGGATGTTTTAATTCAGACATTATCCTAATTTTTAAAATTATAATAAATATTAAAAATTAATTTATTACCCAATTTCCTCTCTAACAATTTCTTTTTGTTTATCTCCCCCAAGTATTGGAATAAATTTGGCAGCAAAAATATTCCCCGTTTTCTTCTCCAAACATCTGTGAACTACACCAAATGCTCCTGTTCCAATTTCTTCAAGAATTTCATAATCATCGTAGATTGATTGTTCTTTTTTGATATTGACTTTAGGCGTATAATAATTGTCCAAAGAATCATTAACTAATTAAATTAATTAATTGAAAATATTTTTAAGAAAAAATAAGAAAATTTAAAATGAAAGGTTAAATTTTGAAATATTTTAAATTTTATTGGAGTTGACATGATATTATTGTTGGATTACTAAATTTAATTTTTAATATTTTACTTACCCATTAAATCATATTTGTCAGTTTGTATGTAATTATTCTTTGATTTTCCACGCACCAATTTACCCGTATCATCAACTAATTATTATAATTTTTTATTTAAAAATAGTATTAAATGGAATTAATATTATACAAACTCCTCCCATTCCATAACCTCCTAAAAATATTATTTGTCGGGACAAAATTAGTCAATAATCTCTAATTTATATACCTTCATGGTAAGGGTGGTGGCTTCCGGTTCCGGATAACCGAAGGTTTCTCAAGAACCACCAACCTAACTCTATGGTGTTGGAAAGTATATAAAATAGAAGATATCGCTTATCTATTCACACAGTTACCTCGACGTTATTTTAAATCAGGGAGGCATATATGTAAATTAGATCAGATTGTATTAATAAATTATTAAATCAATTAATATGTATATTAAATGATTATTTTTTAATAATATTACAGCAAAAATTTCAAAAATTATTAATAAAAGTGTCTTTTTTATTAATGTTAACCATATTTTTATTAAAAATATTTAAATCAATTTATTTAAAATTTTTTTTGATAAAATCAACGGGTTGAGACAAAATTGAAAATATAATTTTGGATATATTATAGAGCACTTTTTGATAAAAACATAGAAAATTTGGGGAGCCAAAATATAAAATTTGAAGAAAAATTGAGAGAGCCTTACTTTCAAAAAGAGTGAGAGCCAAAACACTCAAAATGAAAAATAATAAAGTTTAGATGAGTAAAAAAGGCAGAAATGGGCATTTAATTAAAATAATTTTAAACAATTTCTCTTTTTTAAAAAGATGTTAAAAGAGGACGGTTAAAAAAGAGAAAAAGTTTAAAAAAATTTTGAAAAATTTCCAGAAAATTTAAAATTGTTATTAAAGTAAAGGAATATATTTATTTATTTAAATAAAAAATTGTTTTCATTTATTAATCCTTCCCAAAAAGTTTGGACGGTACTTTTTAGGAAGAAAACTAAATTTTGAAATAAAAATTAGAAATATATATTCCTTTTATAAATTTAATTAGAGAATATTTTTAAAATATTTAAAAAAATATAATAAAAAATATTCATTTAGTTGATGGCAACATTCCGGCATAATTAAAATAATATTTTTATTTTGCTGATGGAATGCAGAATTTCTGTTTTTGAAGTTTTTTAAAATAATTATTTTGCCAATTCTGCTAATTCTACATGAGTATATTTCACCTAAAACAAAATAATAAATTTGGTAATTATTTGGAAAATATTTTGAATTTAAATAGCATAAAAATAAGCAGGTAAAGAACTAAGCAAAAATAAAATAATTGTGAAACAGGCAAAGAAAATTTTAAAAAATAAATATAAAATTAGAGTTAAGTTTTAGGAATAGTGTAAAATGAGCAATATGTATAAAATCTTAAATTTACAGTCATAACTCCCATTATATAACATAAACGAGATAACCCAACCCAGTCAATGATCATTTCGAATGAAAGTCAAAGGGATACCCCCCATAATAATAGATATTATAATTACTATAACGAAAATTATTAAATTGTGGCTATAACAAAAACAAATGTAGTTTTTAGTAGATAATTAATATCTCTTAACAAAGAGAAACTTAAAATCACTTTGAAAATACGTCCAATTAAAATAAATAACCTATTTTAAAAATAAAGAAGCTGTTGGGTTAAAAAGCGATATTAAAAAGGCATTTAAAAATTTATGAATAATATAAGTAATTTAATAAAATGAATAAACAAAAAGAGCATTGGGAAAAATATAAATAAAAAACTTTAAAATTAAAAGGCCCATAACCAAGAAAGAATTATTTTGTCACTTAAAATATAATTTTAGTTAAAAATTATTTTAAAAATTTAAACAAAATTATTAAAAAAGTTGTTAATATTTTTGTAATTTTTGTTTAATTTGGAGGAAAGTGTTAGAGCAAAAACAGCAAAAGCAAACAAAAAAAGCAAAAAATATTTTTGATTAAAAGAAAAACTTATTATCTGCTTTGTCTAGTACTACTAAAAGTACTTAATCTTGGAGATGGACTTCTACTAGAACGGCTATATGCTCCACTTGAAGAAACAGCCAAACTAGAGAATGTTTTGCTTGTATTTAATGCATTAACTCCAGTAGTTAGTAATGAAGATGAATGGGAATTTAACATTGAAAAGGAGGAAGAGGAGGCATGGGAGGAGGCTCGGGCAATAGACACCCCTACTCCATTACTAATAGCAGCACCTTCATAGTTGATTCTTTTGACTCGAGATTCAGGAATTGTACCTTAAAACGTAAAAAAAATTAATTTAAAATGTAAAAAAGGTGGGCAATCTCCACTGACTTAGCAGTGAGTTATTTATTTATGAGTCGTATTCAAAAAAAGATTTTTCTATTCTCCGTCGATTAGGATCTAATGTTTGATATTTACAAAATAGAGGAAAATTGTTTAAATTTAAAAATATGTATATTTATAATATACAAACATGATTGTGTTGCTTCACTAGGTTCTGAGAGTCCATGTTTATTTTCAGCAATAATTCTAAATTCATAGCTCTCCTTTGCTTTTAATCCTTCAATTGTTAAATAACAAAAACGGGACCGAGCACATTGTTTCCATTGACCACCAGATTCACGTTTTTCAACAATATAACTATTTAATAAATTAAAAAATAAAATCAAAAAATAATTAAAATCTTTACTTTGTAATAAGAGCGCCTCCATCGAGTGCTGGTGGCTTCCAAGAAAGAATGGCTGCACCGTCAAGAACATTTTCCACAATAGGGAATCTCTTTAAAAATAAATAATTTTTTAAAGAATTATTTTTAAATAAAAAATCTTACGGGAGGTTCAGGTTTGTCTAAAACAACCAATTTAATAATTGCAGAATCAGAGCCAACAGAATTATTTGCAAATATTCTATATTCCCCAGCATCTGCTCTAGTACAATCAGAAATTCTTAATTGAATTATTTTTTCATCTGTTTGTAAAGCATAACGTCCACCACTAGAAAGTTGCCTTTCTTCTTCAAAACTTAAAGCAGTCCAGGTCGAATTAACCGGAGGATATGCTTTGTATGGAATACGTAATTCAATACTGTGGCCTGCTTCAACTTCCAATCCCATAAAATATTTGGGTGGAACGAGTAAACGAGGTTTTGCTGAAAAGAATAATTATTATTAAGTTTAAGTAAGGATGTGCAGCATAAGGAGGATTCCCTAAACTATTAGTAACAGTGAATATAATTGCAGATCTTGTTAGAAAAATAATGCAAAGAAACATACTGCTCAATTTCAATTGCGCCCTTGTGGATCTTGTGCCAAATTGATTTGTAGCCCTACAAGTATATTCATCTTCATCTTCTGGATGTAAATTATTGACAATACAAACCTATTATTTAAAATTAATTCTAAAATTTATTTAAAATTTTCTACTTGTTTTGTTCCTTTATCAATTAATGTACATTTTGGTGTATCTACTAATTCTCTACTTCCTCTAAACCAGTGAATGTCTGGTTTCGGAGATCCTCCGATTTCACATTCAAAGGAAACTGTCCCTCCTGCTGTTCCGTGTTGATCACGTAAAGACCCAATTATTTCAGGGGCCCTTCCTTTAGAATCTGGACTGAATTCGTAATTTTCAACCAAAGCTGGAGTTGATTCTCCAGCATCATTTACAGCAACAACTCGGAAGTTATATGAGCGTCCATCAATGAGATTTGTAACATTTAGAGAAGTAGAAGGGGAGGGGGCTTGTGTACATTTTTGCCAAAGTTCAGTGCCTTGTTCACATTTCTCGACCATATATCCACGAATTCGGCCACCTCCATCACGTTCTGGCCTTTGCCAACTAAGTACTGCATATTCAGGGCCAACGTCTACAACTCCAGGGAGGAGAGGTGGTCCAGGCGGATCAAAAGGTAGGCGGGCAATCTGTAAGATATATTGAAGGTAGAATTAAATTTCTTTACAAACCACAGGTTTGTCAGAATTTAATGCTGGTCCCTGCCCATTAGCATTACAAGCAGAAACTCTAAAGTCATATTCATGTCCGGAAAAGAGTCCAGCAACAATAAAAGAGAGTTCTCTGACAGCTGAGGCAACAGTAACCCATGTATCACTTTCAGCAGATCTCAAATCTCTCTTTTCCAAAACATAATTTGTAATACGAGAACCACCATCGTGGGCAGGTGGTCGCCAAGAGACAGTGCATTGATGTTCTCCTATGTCGGTGATTTGGAGAGGACCCTCTGGCACCGAAGGGAGTCCACTAACATTTAGCCAGAAGCCAGTGCTAGCCTCTCCACTCTCGTTTTTGACCTTAAAACAAATGGAATAATTACTTTAAAATGCTCTAAGTGAACGGTAAACATACCTGATATTCATAACGTCCTGCTTCATGTGCCCGTAATTCAGGAATGGTGAGTAAAACATGGTCATCGAAATCAACCCATCTAATATTTGCTGCATCAGGATTTAATTCAATGCCATTAAGTGTGAATCGATGAGTAAATGGAGGTGAGCCAGAAAAGAAAATTTTGATACGAACCATATCACCAGCGGGATATACAGCATTTGGTACTTGTTTTTCAATAACTGGAGGTGCTTGGACTTTAAGGCTGGCTGTTGCTGTATCCACGCCGAAAACGTTGGACACCTGTATATTAAAGTTATCATACATTCTCTTATATCCAAAACTCTATCTTTTTAATAATAATCTTTAAATATCTCAAATCCAAAGATTTCCCGAGTATGCGGAATATAAATAAAATTCTATTTAAAATCCAACAAATTACCTCACAAGTATAATCACCACCATCAATATCCCAAACTTCTTTTATTATTAATTTATAAAGCCCTTCTCCATTGTCCTCTACTCTATAACGAGCTCCATCGGGTATCTCCCTTCCATTGCGCAACCATCTGGCAGTTGGTTTTGGGCGTCCAACAGCCTCACAGGTTAACACGGCTCTTTTGTTGTAAGGACATGCAACATCTTCCGGTTTGACTACAATTGTTGGTTTACACCCAGCTGTTTCTTGTATTTTAATTGGCGATGTAGGCAACGATGGAAGACCCCGTCCATGTGAATTGAGAGCTATAGCACGGAATTCGTAATCATGGAATTCTTTGAGTCCAGGAACGGTGAACTCAGTGAGAGGAGTCTGTGAATTGTTTCTTTCATTAAACTAAAAAAGTCTAATAGGTGGTATATACCGTTTCCGGTGTTGCCATTTCCCATTGTTGATGACCGAATTCACGTTTCTCAATCACATATCCAACTAATTTACAGCCTCCATCGTCAGCTGGGGGTTGCCACGTTAACGTCACCCAGTTTGGACCAATTGTCTGTGCACGCAATTGAATGGGCGGTCCAGGAGGTCCGTAACGTTGCCGAAGTTGTATCTTGTCGCTCGGAGGAGAGGGACGGCTCCAACCAGCGGCGTTTTTAGCTACAACTCTAAACTCATATTCCCCTTGATCTCGTAGATTGGACACTTTGAAATTGCATTGTTCAATGAGTGCTTTATTGGCAGTTATCTAATATTGAGGATGTTAGAAATATAAATTATGTTTCTCTATTTTATTTACCCATTTATGAGAGTGTTGATCACGATACTGGAGATTATATCCCAAGATTTTAGAGCCACCATTAGAAGCTGGAGGATCCCATTCAACTAAAGCCCAATTTCTGTCAAAGTCCCGTACTGTTGGTTTATCTGGTTGGCCAGGAACGGAAAACTAAAAATAAATAAAATTAATGATATTAATTTTTCTTTCATCCGATGACCCACCTGATATTTAGCAACAATCGGTTCAGGCAATTCTAGAGGATCGGAAAGTCCATATTGATTTTCAGCCAATACTCTAAACCTATATCTTTCATTCTCTACAAGACCAGGTACTAAAGTATTTGTGCCACGAACGAATGAACTAAGCCTTTCCCAATTCTCTTGTCCTCCAATAAGTCGGCATTTCTCTATAACATAATTAGTTATAGGAGATCCACCATCGTCTTTAGGTGGTTTCCATGCCAATCTACAAGATTCTGGACCAATATCGTCACATTCAAGTGGCCCTTCTGGAGGTGAGGGCCTGTCGACAACCTTTGGAATATTTATTTAACAAAATCAGTTAACTCTCAAAAATACCTTCAACTTGAGATCGACAGAATCTGAGCCCAAATCATTTTCAATTTTAATAGAATATGTACCAGTATCACCACGTTCACACTTTGGATAATTCAATTGAGTTAAAAAGTCGCTACTTTCAATCTCAGAACGTGTTCTGACTTGGGCATCAAATGGCAATCCATTCTTTGTCCAAGTAATTTCTGGTTTTGGACTGGCGGCATAAGGCACAAGAATTTTGACGGGATCTCCTACCAAAGCAATCATGTCTCTGGCAAGCATTCCCATAGAAATTATAGGCTTAGAAGGACGAGGTGCGGCAATAATTGGAACCTAATTGAGTGAGAATAAGTTTTCTATCTCAAATCATCTCAAAAATACCGAATTTTCGCTCCAACCACCTTGGCCAACAGCATTAACAGCAGCAACCCGAAATTCGTAGGTGTGCTGAGGTTTTACACCTGTCACTTTAAATCTAGTTTCTGGAACATTTCCAAAAGCCGCTCTCTCCCAAGGAGCATTTTTTCCAGCTTCCCTCTTATCCAAAATATATCCAGTAATTGGAGCACCTCCATCATAAAGTGGGCGTGTCCATTCAAGAGTAATAGAATCATCAGCTGTATGAATAGGTTCTGGCGCTCCCGGAGGCCCTGGAACGTCAAATGCTCCTTTGGCAAGTAACGATTCATCAGCATCGAGTGGCTCGCCTAAAAATATTAGAACAATAGCAACATTTAATTTTCATTTTCTCACCAACGCCGTACTCGTTTTCTGCCCGAACACGGAAATCATAACGCTCTCCATGATTCAATCCACGGCATCGGAAGGAAAGACCGGCTGGTGCACCTACTCTTTCCCAATCTCCACCTTTGGCCGGCTTTCGTTCAATAACGTAATTCGAAACAGGTGAACCACCATCATCTTTTGGAGGGCTCCAATATAAAGTGCAAGCATCTCCACTTAACTCAGAGAAGAGAATTGGTCCTGTTGGTTTACCAGGCACATCAAGAACATTGACGTTCAGCTTGGCAGAATCCTTGCCATAACGATTTTGGACAACCTATTTAAAATAAAATGTGCATTAAAGCAAAAATTAATTCAAGAGTTACGACATACCACTTTGTAAGGGCCAGCATCAGATCTTTTAGAAGCCAAAGTTGTAAAAATAATTTTATCATCTTCCACTTGTAATGTAGTTCTATCATCCTCAAATATTGTTTGACCTCCATTTAGTACATCAACTGTAGGTCTAGCTCCTCCAGAGGAGTAAGGTAAAGTAAATGTTATCGTTTCACCGGCACGCACTGTAATGTCTTTTAGACCGCTTAGATCGAGTATAGGTCGTCCAGGTTGATCAGTAGTCAGAACCATGTCACTAGGTTTAGATGGTTCACCTTCTCCCGCACGGTTGACTGCTATAACTCTGAACTCAAATTGCTCTTTCTCTGGAAGGCCTTCTACAGTACAACGAGTATCTCTACACATCTTCCCAGGTCCAAGCCCCGTATTTGAGCGACACCATTCTTCACCCTCTGCCATTTTACGTTGTTCAATGATATACCCTTCGATGGGTGCTCCCCCATCAGATAGTGGTCTGTTCCAGTTCAAATCAACTGTGTGCTTGGTTACTTTGCCGATTCGGGGCTTATCAGGAGCACCAGGAGGTTCTTAAAACGAAATAAGAGAATAAAAACAAATAAAAGAACACACCAACAAATGGTCGACACTCAACAGGTTCACAAGAACCACTCGGCGGTCCCTCACCAGCAGCGTTTACGGCTCGAACACGGAATTGGTATGTTTCACCTTGAGCTAATCCAGTAACATTTGCTGATGTAAGACGGCAAATGCCTAATGATTTAACAGGAGCCCAGTCTCCACCACCACGCTTCTCAAAACGTTCAACAATATAACCAGTTATAGGAGAACCACCATCATCGCGTGGTGGGTTCCAACGAAGAGCGACCATATTTGTGTCATATGCAGTTATTTCTGGTGTTGATGGAGGACCGGGTGGATCTGAAAAGGAAATACGCGATAGAGGATTTTTCAATTGGCCTTTTTTCAAGGCCTCAAATAATATTTAGTTCTAAAAAATAACCAAATGGATCTTTAGCAGTAACAGGATCTCCATTGAGAGGATCACTTTGACCAACCATATTCTCGGCAAACACACGGAATTTATATTCTTTTCCCTTTTCCAAATTTCTAACAGTATAGTTTAACAAAGTAATTTGTTCTGGTACACGTTCCCATTCTCTTGCTCCGATCTCCTGATATTCAATTCGATAACCACTTATTTCAGCACCACCATCATCTTTGGGTGGCTTCCAAGCAAGAGTTACTCCACGTCTTAATTTATTTTAATTGCTTATATTTATCTAATCCATTCTTTTACCGTGATGTTGATGGATAAGTTAATGGTCCCTCAGGTGGTCCTGGCCTGTCAATAACATTAATAAGAACACGAGCCTCTGCTTTCCCTTTCTCATTAGTAGCTTCTATACGGCATTGACCAGAATCTGAGCGTTTACTTTGTGGGATATAAAGGCGAGTAATTCCAGGTTTTGTTTCAATTCCTTAGAATATTAAATAGAATAAAATACTCCATTAATTTATTATACCACTCATTTGTTGCCCTTCTTTGGTCCAAGTTATTGTTGGTTGAGGTGAACCAATGTAAGGAATTGCAAGATCAAGTGGTTGACCTGCACGAACTCTAATTTCTTTTCCATCAATATCCAATTCAAAACGAGGTGCCTCAAATTTAGGTTTGGCCCAAGCAAGATCTGAAGGGTCAGAAGGATCACCAGGACCTGCTTTATTTACAGCAACAATGCGATATTCATATCCATGTCCCGGTTGAACTCTTTCATCTGTATATTCAGTTCCATAAACAGGGTGGGTATTAACCTATAATTTTATTTTGGATATACATATTTCTTCATAATCCCAACAATTTTCAAATTTCACCTTAATCCAACGTCCAGTTTTCTGATCTTTCCTTTGTACATCATAATGTGTGATAGGCGATCCTCCAGTATCATTTGGTGGTTTCCATTTAAGAGCAATATAATTATTGTCATGATCAGTAATGTCAGGTTTTCCAGGCTTTCCAGGCCTTCCAAATGGATCTTTAGCCAAAACAGGAGAGTCTGTCACTAAAGGATCCGAACGGCCCAAGGCATTTTCGGCACAAACACGGAACTCATATTCTTGTCCCTCCTTAAGCTTTGGAACTGAACATTGACAGCCTGGAACAAAATTAGAGACAGGTGTCCAAACATTGCTGCCAATTTCGCGTTTTTCAACAACATAATTAGTTAAAGGAGAACCGCCGTCATCTTCGGGTGGTTTCCAGCTAAGTTGACATGAATCTTTTGTAACACCATCAACAACTATCGGGCCTTTAGGTGGAGAAGGTTTGTCTTGAATTAGCACTTCAAAAGTTCCTTCAGCCTCTCCTACTTCATTTTTAAGTCGAAGTTCATAAGCTCCACTTTCTGAACGTTTTGCTGATGGGAAGAAGATGGAAGTTTGTCCAGGACGGCGAACATCGACAATTAATTCTGGTGGAAGTGTTCCTCCGCCATCAACTTTAGTCCAACCAACACTTGGATCAGGTGCTCCAACAAACTCTATATCAAGAGTTAAAGTATTTCCAGCCCGCACTTTCCATTTTCGTTGTTGAGTGATGATTGCAGGCTTTAACCAACGAGCCTTACATATTTGTGAAGCTGATGGGTCAGATGGAGCACTAGGTCCAGCTTCATTAACAGCACTGACACGGAATTCATATTCTTGACCTTTTCTTAATCCAGTACAAGAAAATGAGGTAGAAGGGCAACGTCCAACTTCTATCCACAATGGAGAACCTCGTTCTCGTTTTTCTACAATATAGCCAGTAATTGGGGCACCACCATCGTTTGCAGGAGGCCGCCAGCCAATATCAATGCGTGTCTCATCATAGTCAGTAATTTCTGGTGCATCAGGTGGATCAGGGACATCGAACGGATTTTTTGCAGTTATAGCCTTGTCGCCCTCCAAAGGTTTTGATTCTCCATAGACATTTAATGCCTTCACTCGAAACAGATATTGTTTTCCAGGAATTAGTTTTGCAACTTTAGCCTCACAGTCAGGAAATTGACCAACTTCTTGCCATGTACCTCTTGTTGTGTCCATTTTTTCAACTACATATCCAATAATTTCAGCACCACCATCATCTTCGGGAGGGCACCAACTTAGTGTGCATCCTTCCTTATGAATATTTTTAGCAGCTAGTGGTCCTTGAGGAGGTCCAGGCACATCCAAAACAGTAACTTTACATTGGCCTTGATCAGTTCCATATTCATTTTGTACAGTAATTGAGTAAGTTCCAGCATCGGAACGTTCAGCTGCTCCAATAGTGATACAGCTCAAATGTTCTTTATCGTTGTCTAAATCAGCATGGGACGTTCCTGTAAATGGTTTTCCATTTATTGTCCATGTAGCAGTTGGTTTTGGCTCTCCTTCAAATTCTGCACTAATGTTGACTGGTTGGCCAGCACGGACTCTAATATCCATTAAAGTATTCAAATTTAATTTTGGAGCAAGCTTTCTTGGTTTTGCAATTTTTGGATCTGTTGGATCAGAAGGTTCACCTTCTCCAGCTTTATTTATGGCTTTGATTCTGAATTGATATTCTTCGCCAGGAATTAATCCATCGGCTGTGCCTTTGCATTGATTTCCAGGTACTTGACCGCAAGGTGTCCATAACCCATTCTTTGGCTTTTTTTCAATCACATAACCTTCAATTGGTGCGCCACCATCAGTAATTGGTGGCTTCCATTCCAAATCCATATGATCTTTATCCCAATCAACAACTTTAACATCTTGAGGTTTTCCAGGCTTTTCCCATGGATTTTTAGCTATTATGCTTTGATCGCCAGTCAAAGGCTTTGATTCTCCCTGCCGATTAACTGCTTTAACCCTGAATTTGTATTCCTTTCCTTCAACAAGACGATTCACTCTCAGAGTAGTATCAGGGCTTTCTCCACAAGGAATCCAACGACCATTAGGTTCTTGTTTTTCCACAATGTAATGGGTTACAGGAGATCCTCCATCATCTTCTGGGCTGAACCATTTGAGTGTAGCACTGTCTTTAGTTACTTCTCTTAAAATAAGGAAATTAAATTTTAAAAGGAAATATATTTAGAAAACTCAATACCTAGCTTCAAGAGGCCCTCCCGGAGGACTAGGAACATCCAAAACAGTAACAAGAACTTCAGCCTCATCTTGCCCATGTTCATTTGTTGCAATTAATTTATAAACACCACTATCCATTCTTTCAGCATCCAAAGTTTTAAGTTTAGTATTATTATCGTTTGTATTGTCCACTTTAGTACGATCAGAAGTAGCTAGAGGGGTGCCGTTAATCGACCATTGACATTTTGGGTTTGGTTCTCCCTCCACTGGAACATTAAATTCGACAGTCTCTCCACGACGTATGCGGAGTTCTGGCATAGCAGATCGATCAATTTTTGGTGGGAGACGGCGAGCTTTTGCTATTAATAATCGACTAGGATCAGAAGGTGCAGAAGCTCCAGCTTTATTGACAGCCTTTACACGAAATTGGTATTGCTTTCCTTCTTGTAAACCTTCAACACGAGCATCTGTTTGGGATGCAGGGACTTCTGTTGCATATTCCCAATCACCAGTTCCCATTCTTTTTTCAACAACATATTTTTCCAAAGGTGCCCCTCCATCATCTGTTGGAGGTGTCCATTTCAAATCAGCCCAGTTTTTGTCCCAATCAACAATATCCGGAGTTCCAGGCCTGTCCGCAGTATCGAATGGGTCTTTTGCAACAACTGACTTTTGTGCTTCTAATGGATCTGATTCTCCATATTTATTCACCGCTTTAACTCGAAAACGATATTCGTGGCCAGGTGTTAAATCATCCAATTCACATTTACAATCGGTACATTCAGCAGCGGGCACCCAACGTCCAGTAGCCAAATCAAGCTTTTCAACTACATAATGTGAAATTCCAGCACCACCATCATCTGCTGGTGGTTTCCAATCAAGTGTACAACCATTTTTGTTTACATTTGAAATATTAAGAGGGCCGCGAGGTTCACCAGGCCTGAAATATAAAAAAAAGTTATTGAATAGAATTATTGGGTTCTCTGATATTTCACATGTAGAATTAATTCATGGTCAGTTAGCAATAATTAAATACTTGCCTGTCTAATACAGTAACATGTACTTCAGCTTTATCAGTCCCACTGTCGTTTACGGCAGTAATATTAAAAATGCCGGTATCAGAACGGAGAGATCGTTTTACAGTAAATTTAGTTCCTTTTTCATTGCAAACAATTTTCATTCTGTCATCAGAAACTAAAGGTTTTCCCTGAAAATCCCAAGTAATTTCAGGTGGTGGCTCTCCAGAAATTGGGATATCAAGCTGGAAGGGTTGACCAGCACGAACACGAATTTCATGAATTGAATTACGGTCAATTTTTGGCGGAACTGAAAATAATTAAAAAAGATTTTGTAAATTAATTCGAGAAAAAGTACCATTTCTGTCTTTAGCAATAACAGCATCTGAGGGATCACTAGGTTGTCCTTTCCCTGCTTTGTTTTTAGCCACCACTCTAAACTCGTATTCCTCTCCTTCTTGTAATCCATCTACAGAAGCTTGGGGAGCTGCACTGGCTGGCACGGTTTTAACCGGCTTCCATTGAGGAGAAAATTTATCACGCATTTCCACAACATATTCTTCTATTGGTGCACCACCATCTTCAGTAGGAGGTTCCCATTTTAATTCAACATGTTCCTTGTCCCAGTCAACAAGTTCTGGCTGAAATAAAATTATTAAATGACTAAAATCTGATAAAAATGGAAAATGTGTCAATTAATTCTTAAGCGGGAGATGAAAGTATTATACTAGAAACAAACTTTTCCAGGCTTTCCAGGTGCATCGAAAGGTTCTTTAGCAGTTATCTTATGATCTGTTTCAAGTGGCTCGGATTCTCCTTCAGCATTAATCGCCGAAACACGGAATTTATAATCATGTCCAGGTGTCAATCCATCCACTTTAAATGAACAGTCTGGTCCAGTTGTTTTGCCTGCTTTAACCCAACGACCAGTACTTGGATCCATTTTTTCGATTTGATAACATTCTATTGGAGAACCACCATCGTCTAGAGGGGGTTTCCAATCCAAAGTACAATTATCTGCATGTATGTCTGTTACATTAAGTGGGCCTTCAGGAGCTGACGGCTTGTCTGAAAAGGATTAAAACTATTTAATTTAAAGATTCTAAATTACCAATAACATCCACTCTAACACGCTCTTCAGCTTCTCCATTATCGTTAACAGCTCTAATTCTATATTCCCCGCTATGACTTCGATCAGTTCCTTTAATTTGAAGTTTTGCCCTTCCAGATTCTTCATCATGCTCTACTCTCATTTTTGGACCAGCATGAAGTTCTGAGCCATCTGGGCCGAACCAGCTGACTTTTGGAAGAGGTTCTCCTTCTACTGGAACGTCAAAATTGATCATTTGGCCAGCATGAAGACGAAGGGGTTTAAGTTCGCCAATTTTTGGAGGAACTGAAGGAAATATAAAGACTAAATTTCTTCAACATATTTTATTACCATTTCTTGGTTTAGCCACAACAGGCCGTGTAGGATCTGAAGGCTCACTAGGTCCTCCTTTATTTACAGCAGTAACTCTAAATTCATATTCTTCTCCTTTGGTTAATCCATCAACTGTCCCTGCATTTGTTTGTCCATCTGTTGTAAGTGCTGGTTCCCAACGACCATACTTTGAACGTTTTTCCACAATATATTGTTCAATTGGAGCACCACCATCATTAGCTGGTGGTTCCCACTTAAGATCAACATGATCTGCGTCCCAATCAACAAGTTCAGGTGCATTAGGTTTATCAGGGTGTTCATAAGGGTTTTTGGCTTGTGTTGCTTTTTCTGTTTCTAATGGGTCAGATTTCCCTTCAGCATTAACCGCCTTTAAATAAATAAGTTATATGTATTTATTTTTAATAGTAAGGTTATAAAATTTAAATGAATTACCTTAACACGAAATTTGTAGTTGGAACCCTTAGAAAGTCCATCCACAATCATATGAGGTTCTGCTGTTGTCCCACATGGCACCCAAATGCCATCCCGAGAATCTTGTCTCTCAACCTCATAATGAGAAATAGGCTCTCCACCATCGTCTTCAGGTGGTTTCCAATCCAAAGTCATTTTATTTTCAAAAACATCACTAACTTCCAGAGGACCTTTAGGTTTAGATGGTCGTCCTTTAACATCAATTTGGACAGTAACAGAGTCTGTTCCGTTTGGGTTTGTTGCTGTTATTGTATATTTTCCGCTTTGTGCTCTTGTTGGCTTAACCAAAGCAAATTTACTCAGATAATCTTGGTCTTGAACATTTGCACATTCAGGAAGAGGTTTTCCCTCAAATGTCCAAGTAACTGTAGGTGGAGGCTCTCCATCAATATGAACATTAAATTTAACATCTTGTCCAGAACGTAAAACAGTATCGCTTAGATCTTCTCGGTGAATTCTTGGTGCAAGATTTCTTGCCTTTGCTATGACTGTATCTGTTGGGTCAGAAGGCTCTCCAAGGCCTCCCTTGTTGCGTGCAGTTATTCTGAATTGATATTCTTCTCCAGGACGAAGACCAGGAACTGTGGCAGTTAATTGGTCAGAAGGAACTTTCAAAGCTTCAGTCCATTTGCCAGTAGTTCCATCTTTCTTCTCAATTAAGTATTCCTCGACAGGTGCACCACCATCATTAGTTGGAGGTTTCCAAGCAAGATCAACGTGATCAGCATCCCAATCGGTCACTTCTGGCTTTTCCATTTTTCCAGGGGTATCGAAGGGGTTTTTAGCCAATGTTGGATCCGTAGTGACCAACGGATCAGATTCACCTTAATAAATGTAAAGCTACTTGGTCAGATTTTCTAAATCAACAACCTTCCTTATTTACAGCCCGTACTCTAAATTGATATTGATGCCCCGGTTGAAGATTCTCTACGGTTATTTCCGGTTCTGTACATCGACCGCAAGGCACCCATCGACCAGTAGCTAAATCCATTTTTTCTACTTCATAATGATCAATAGGCATTCCACCATCATCAAGAGGTGCCTTCCATGAAAGTGTGGCACGATCCTCGAATACATCTTTTACCTCTAATGGGCCTTCAGGGGCGGATGGACGACCAAGAACTGTGACCTTAAGGCGATTTAATATTTAACAATAATAACAAGGGAAGACGTGTACCTCTACTCCATATTGGTCTGTCCCATTCTCATTTGTCGCAACAAGTAAATAAGTCCCTGCATGATCACGAGTTGCATTTCTTAATGCTAAATTTGTCTTGTATTCTTCATTTGTAACGCGTATTTTTGAATCATCATCTATTGGTTTTCCATTTATTGTCCAGGTTTTTTCAGGTGGAGGTTCTCCAGTAACGGGAACATTAAAATCTAGAGACTGGCCAACTTTAATTGTAATTGCTTTCATTGCAGATCTGTCGATTCTCGGAGCTTGATGTCTTGGTTTGACTAAAAGTCTTCGACTTGGATCTGACGGTTGACCCGGCCCAGCTTTATTCACAGCACGAACTCTAAACTCGTATTCTTCACCTTCTTTAAGCCCTTTAATTGTTGCACTTGGTGTTGGTCCACCTTTAGAGAATAGTGATTTAATTAAAGGATATAGAATAAATAATCAGAATTTCTCACCAACTTTTGCACATTCCTTCCAATCTCTATCATGTTTACTCTTTTTCTCAACAATATAATCTTCAATTGGAGCGCCTCCATCGTGAGTTGGTGGATCCCACGCTAATTGAGCACTTTTCTCGTCCCAATCAACTTTGAAAATGGAAGAGATAAAGCTAACAAAAAATCAAAAATTCTTACCAATATCTGGGGCTCCACATTTTCCTGGGATATCATAAGGATTTTTGGCTATTATTGACTGATCACCAACTAGAGGTTCTGATTGCCCTTCTTTATTTACTGCTTTTACTCTAAATTGATATTGTTTTCCCTTTTGAAGACCCTTTACATCTGCCTTGCAATCTTTAACTTTTGCACAGGGAGTCCAACGGCCGGTATCAGCATCTAGTTTCTCGACCTCATAATATTCTATAGGCTCTCCTCCATCTTAAAAAAGTACTTGTAATTTTAAAATGATGAAAATATAATGGAATCTTTATCTTATACTTACTCAATGACACACGGATTCGGAATAATTTGAGGGAAAACTTAGAGATCCGGGATAATTTGGAGATTTAATATACATATAGGAAACTGGGATAGCACCGAGATTTTATTCCAATAAAATTCATTTACAAACACTCACCATCCTCTGGAGGCTTCCATTCCAAACTACATCCTTCTTCTGTCACATTACTCACTTCTAATGGCCCTCTAGGCTTTCCGGGTTTGTCCAAAACAGTTAAATCAGCCTCAGCCGAATCTTCTCCAGTTTTATTTTTTACTTTTAATGCATATCTTCCTCTATCGGCACGAACTGCTGCGGGAATGCAAAGAATTGTGTGATCATTCTTTTTAACATCAATTTGGATAGCACCGCTTTGATCAGTTATTGGTTGCCCATTTTTAGACCAAAAAACATCTGGGGCAGGTTTTCCATTGAACTAAAGGTTTTTTGTAATTTTTAAATTTTAATGGTAACACCTTAACAGTCCATTTAGCTGTCTGACCCGCACGAACTACCAAATTCTTCATTCCATCATGGTCAAGCCAAGCAGGAACTTAAAATTTTCATTTATTCAAAGAAAATAAAAATAAAATCCAACCAAATTTAGGTTGCACCAAAACTTTTTCACAAGGCTCGCTAGGCTGCCCAGGTCCAGCTTTATTAACAGCCTTCACTCTAAATTGATATTCTTTTCCAGTTTCAAGTCCTTTAACTGTTGCTTCAGGCTTTTCAGAAGTTGCTACTTCAACCCAATCTTTACTTTTTGGATCTCTCATTTCCACAACATATTTCTCTATTGGAGCACCCCCATCTTTCATTGGAGGATCCCATTTAAGAGATACTTTGTCAGTATCGACATCTGTGACTTGAGGTCTTCCGGGCTTTCCAGGTTCTTCCCAAGGGTCTTTAATTTGATAATGCTTGTCTGTTCCTAATGGCTCTGATTCTCCTTCTTTATTTACTGCCTTCACACGGAATTTGTAATTTCCTTTGTCTTTGAGTCCTTTAACTTTTAGCTTAGTTTCGCCAGGGCCGCATTTGCCGACTGGTACGAATTTGCTGCCACCGTCTACGTCCTTTTTAAATTTATATATTTATATTTAAACATAAAATTTTTGATCAGGGATAGACATGTTAGATTTTTTGAAATCATGAAGGAAAATTCTTTTGTTTAGATGCGAAATTAACATAAATGCCCTCATTTTTAATAATAATAATTTTTATTTTTAATAAAAAAACTTGCCTGTGCCTCAACTATATAACCAGTCAAAGGTTCACCACCATCATCTAAAGGTGGTTTCCATTCCAAAGTAGCCCCATCTTTGCAAATATCGCTAACTTCTAAAGGTCCTTGTGGAGGATCTGGCCTTCCAACAACAGTAACATTAGCTTCAGATTGTGCTTCTCCACTTTTATTTTTTAATTTTATACAAAATTTCCCAGAATCTGAGCGTTGTGCGTCTTCGATTTTAAGAACAGTTTTGCCCTTTTCTGTGCTGATTTTGACGCGTCCACCAGCCTTCAAAGGCTTTCCATTAACTGTCCAGCTCACTTCGGGTAATGGAGCTCCAGAAATTCCGACTTCATATTTAATTGTTTCACCAACATGGAGGCGTTGGTCTTGAATGCCTCCAGATGTGAATTCAGGAGATGCTTAATTAATAATTTTTCATAAAGTTTGAGATAAGTTTAAGTCAAAAGAAGACTTACTCCTTAGGGTGTGTAAAATGGATTGAAAGTTTACCTGGTTTTGCGGCAATCTTGAAAGGCTTTCCATGATCACAAGGATCGCCTGGCCCAGCTTTATTAACAGCACGAACGCGATAATAATATTCTTTGCCCTCAACTACTTTGTCATCAACCATTTGATGTTTTCCTGCTCCCTGAGCTGGAATTTCATCAAGTTTAGCCCAATCCTTGTCAGATTTATCACGACGTTCAATAATGTAAGATTCAATTGGAGCACCTCCATCAGATTCTGGTGGATCCCATTGAAGAGTTAGAGAGTTGGCATCGATATCGGCTGCTTGCATATTTCGAGGTTTACCGGGAACCTAAAAATTTAATAAATGGACGAGTATATTAGATGAGAGATCCCTTTTATTTTCTAGCTTTATCAAACAGTTATTAATTTCCCAATATTACATATCATGCCACAAAAATTTTGATCTTTCTTACCCTCTACATACCGTATAAGGATTTTTTGCAAGTATTGTCTCTCCAACTAACGGATCAGATTCTCCAATTTCATTAAATGCTTTAATTCTAAATTTATATTCTCCATGTTCTTTCAATCCATTGACAGGAAATTCAGTTCCTTTAGTTTCTCCAATTTTCTTCCAAGGGCCTCCACGCCCATCTTGCATTTCAACAATATATCCCCGTGTTGGTGCTGCTTCATCTGGATCAGCCGGTTTCCATTTTAACTTACAACTTTCTGCAGTAACATCAGTCGTTTCTAAAGGTCCTTTAGGCACTTTAGGTTTGTCTCTGACAAATAAATCAAATGGAGCTAGAGCAGATTCCCCAGCAGTATTTTCAAGTTTTAATGCCCATTTTCCAGTGTCACCTTTTTGAGGGTTTTTGAAGATAATTTCAGCTACATCTCCATTAATTACAACCTTTAATTAAATTAAAGCATAATTATAAATATATTTTCTACCTCAATCAAATCTTTCATTTTATCCAAATCTACAGGCTTTCCATTCTTTAAAAGTATTGGCTTTGGATCTCCTCTCCTTGTGCCTTTTACTTGAAAGGGCACTTTTATTTTTTTCTCTTTCCCAGCTTCACATTCAATTTTTTGAGGTTTCCAATTAATTACTGGCTTTCGTTCAGCTTCTAAAACTGTAACTTTGCAAGAGCCTTTAAGGCCAGCTACGTCAATCTCGTAACGATCAGCTTCATTCTTAAAGTAGTAAATTTTAATATCAAAATCTAATAGATCAGGCAAAAATTAAACTTGAGAGTGTAGCACTCATCTAATTCTAGTTAACTATTATAATTCCTAATACCAACATAAGGTGAAAGTCAATTTACTACTCGATAAATTTACGCGATTAATTCTGCATAGGTTTGAAAAAATAATTCCTCCTGTAATTTCCACCCCGACTAATTTATTACTGATGAGTTGAAGAAATAAATCCCATGAAAATTAATAGGTAAAACATAATAATTTTTTGATTAGAATCTTATTTGTTAGTGAATATTAATAATATTAATCTACCATTTCAATTTTACTAATTTTCATTGTGTGAACACCACTTCTCGATTGAAATTCAAATTTAGATCCAGGCATTGAACTAATTGCCTTTCCATATCTAAACCATTGTCCAGGTGTCCTAGTATCTTTTGTCTCACATTTTAAATTAACATCTTCCTTTTCAAAAACTTCTTTGTCTTCTAATTTTACAATAAATTTATTTAAAGGATCAACAATTAATTGAGCCATTGTTTTGTCATCTTTTGTTGTACATTTATATTCACCGTGATCTTCTATTTTAACTCCTGTTATTATAAGGCGGCGTTTTCGACCAACTTTTTCCTCCTTTGAAATAAATTTAAATTTTAAATGATAATTGACATTTAAAAATAGTTTCTTAAAAAACAAAGAATATCCCCTATAATTCCTCCTCCCCCACCCTTTGTCTAAAATTGTAAAAACTCCATACAAAAAAGAAAAGGTCTTTAAGCTGAAATTTCTGTCATACATACACACCTCTAGTCTCAGATAATTAAACTAATCTTAAAAATCAAGGAAGTCTGAAAATTCTAATATTTAGCTACTTTCCCCTCTTCTCTCTGAGTGAAATTCTTTCTCCCAATATTTCCCAGATAAATACCTTAAAGTGAACACCATCCATTTTAATTTTTATTCCATCATGAAACCATTCAACTTCAATATCCTTATCATTAGTATCACATTCAAATGTTGCATTTTCTCTTTCATTGGCCCTTTGGGATTTTAAAGGAACAACAAAAGTATCACGAGGTTCTTCTACATAAACAGCACATTTAGAAAGAACATCTTTACTAACATAAGCAGTCCATTCAGCCTGATCTACTTGTTCAACAACACGAATTGTTAAAGTAAAACGGCCTGTTGTGTCTTTTTCAAGGATATATCGAGGATCATTTCTGAAGTATAATGAATTTTGTATATTTAAATGAGAGTTTTGAGTGTAATATTGAGGTAAAGGAGTTTTCTTCTCCGAGAAAAATTCTCTGAGAGAGAACCTCTTCTTGAGGGAAAGTTTAAAGAATCTCTCCTTTAATTATTAGTTTTTTTCAAAAAAACTTACGGATCAATAGGCTTTCCACCTCTATGCCAAACAAGAGGGGCACGGGCACTGTTAAGTTTACAGGTTAAAATGCCTTGTTTTGTTCTATAAATTTCCAATGTATTTGGTAATGGAGTCAAAAAATTATATTTCATTGGAGGCTCTTCAACAGTGACCTAAAAGGATTTTTTGGGAAATTTTTCAGAAAAAAATCCCATTCTCTCACCATAGAATGTGTTGGAACACCATTTGCCTCACAAGTATATTTTCCGCTATCATCAGGGTCTGGATTGTTAATAACCAAAGTAATTGCTTGTTTATCAATTAAAATTTTATATTTAAGTCCTCCAGAAAATATTTCTTTTCTATCCTTCATCCATCTAACTTTGGCATTTGGACGTGAATAAACACATTTTAATTGAGCTATTTTATTAACTTTTTGTTGAAATTGTGCTTTTTCTGGTAATGGTTCTACCCAACGTTCTTCACGTTTTCCAGTGAATATTGAAGCTCTTAAATGAAATTGTTAATTTTATTTATTTGGACTAGCCTACAAGGCTTATAATATAATTTAAATAAAAGCTAACCGCCTGTCAGCTTCACTTCTAGAAAAATCTTGACTGTCTTGTTTTTGTTTTTCTGAAATACTTGTTTCTCTTTTTTTAAGTGTTGCTCTAAAGTCAAGATTAGATTCAACTCCAGATGTAACTAATAATTTAGCTGAAGCAGAATCAGATCCATGAGTGTTTTTAACTTCCAAGGAATAATCGTCTTCGTCTTGATGTCTACATTTCCCAATAATTAAAGAGACTGATCCAGTTTCCCCATCTGTTGTACAACGAACTCGTCCAGTTAACGGTACATCTCTACCAGCTTTTTTCCAAACAAATGTGGGGGCTGGATTTCCCTCTACAATACATTTAAAGATGGCAACTTCATCTATTAATTTAACAATTTTTGAAAGCAAAACAAATAATTATTATTCTCCTACTTTCAACAACAGTAACATTCTCTGGAATCTCCACAATGCGTGCTGGAGTTCCACTCTTTCCAATTTCTTTCAAAGGTACCGGAGGTCTTTCAAGAACATCAGAAACAGACTCCCTTCGCATATCAACGCTGCTTCTCCTCTAAAAAATTTTTAAAAATATTTTTTAATTATCTGATAAAAAATAAGAGAGATTTGATAAGAATGAGAGAGTATGAGAGAAAAAAAATTAAAGCTTTTAAAGCTTCAAAAATACCCTCATGCTCGCTCTTTTTTGATATTCTTCCAATTCAGTAGCTTCCCTAGCATTCCATTCAGGATGTAAAGAATCTCTTCTAATTGGATCTACTTCCTCTTCCGGAACTGAAACTCTTTTCTCCGAAGCTTTTTCAAGTTTTTTCAAATCAGGCCTTTCCAATTCTTCCTTCTTATCATCCTTTTTAGTTTTTGGTGTTCTTTTTAATTGTATTCCTTGAAATTCATGTTGCTCCCGTTTTTTGCCAACTTGTAATCCTTCCAATTGTCTAAGTGCACTTGAACGTCTTTTCTCATCAGAAACAGGCGTTGGAGTTGGAGATTTTGATTTTGACTTTTCCTTCTGTTGATTTTGTTGAAATAATGATAAATTATCCATTTGGATTTAATTTATAAAATTAATTTTTTATGGGTTTTTAATTCAATCAAATTAATTTTTATGTAGGGATATATTGAAATCCCCCCATTTGTTTTATCAAATTAAATTAATTTAATAATTTTTATTAAATTAATTTGAATATTTTTTGCAAAATATATCGAAATTTTTGTTTATTTTCGCTCATAAAATTCGAGAAAATCAAACAGAAATTTAGAAATATACCTATACCCAAAAATGGAATTTTATGATCTTAATATTAACGTTACCACTCATTAAAAAATTTTTCAGATACTTTTTCTTAATTTGATTGAATACATTATAAATTGTTATTTATTAGGGTTGGCGGATCCTGGAAAATCCTATGATATCCGGATCCTATAAGCGAACCGAAATTTTCAGATATTCTTAATTTTCAGATCCGGATCCACCAACCCTCCTAATATTTATTTTTAACTTAAATAATTTAATTTATAATGTTGCCTATTTTTCTTTTTATTTATTTTATTTTTAGTAGAAAAACATAAGAGTGGCCACTTTCAGAATTAAAAAAACTAAAAAAGTAAAAATTATATAAGAGCTAAATTAACTAAATATTAACAAACAAAAATCATTATATAACAAAAAAATTAAAAGCTCTCTCAATAAAAACAAAAAAAGAGTAAACAAAAAATGACTGATTGACTCACATTTAATTAATTTTAGATTAGAAAATTGGGGATTTTAATTGTATCTAAAATTGATTTTTCTAAAAAACTAGAGGATTTTTGGAGATTTTTAATTAATAAAAAAAATAGTAAAAAACAAAGGAAAAACAAAACAAATAAATATAAATAATTATTTAGAATTACAGTAAAAATAGATATTTATAATGAGAGAATTAAATATGAAAAATATGTAAATTAAAATCAGGATAGATAAATAGAGTAAAATGTTTAGAAATCTAGACTTACTTCTTCATTATTTTTTGTAAAATTTTCATTATTATTTGGAGATGTTGTACTCTTTTTTCTGCGTCCAACTTGAACCATTTTTGGTGTTTTTGAATTAGCCTGTAAAACCGCAACAAAAAAAATTTTTAATTAAAATTATTTAAATAATTGAGAGAAAAAATAAAAAGAATTATTTTTTAATATTAAAAATTATTTAAAATAAATTTTGAATTTAAATTAATTAGAAAGAATTTTGCTTCACAAAGAAAGTGAGGTAAGAAAATAAAATTATTATTTTGAGAAAATTTTGCCCAACAGTTTGTAAAAGAAATTGAGGTCTATAAAGGGCATGAAAGATGAAAAAATAAAAAGCAATTCGAAAAATTAAATAGAGAAATCCATGTCTTTAAACAGATCAGAGAATTGTTTAAAAAATTTAAACAATTACAAAGAGTTAAGAGATTTATTTTTAAAATTAATTTTGAGGAAATGAAGAATGATAAAAAATAAAAAATATATTTTTTAATAAACACACAAACCTCTTCTTCATTAATTTCTTCTTTAAAAAATAATTTTTCTCTTTTAGGGGATGGGGATCCTTTCATTCTAATTGAAGTTTGTTTTAATTCTGTTAATGTAGTTCCTCTCAAACCTTTAGGGTCTTCATATCTAGATTCATATAAACGTTTAGAATTTTTAGATGGCCTAATTCCATAGGCAATTAAGTTTTGTTTTTCATCGTTAAATGAAGAAGAAAAATATTTTTGTTGTTTTTGTTGAAAAGTTTGTGAAGAGGGGGCTAATGGGGGAGGTGTTGGGGGGCTCATTTTTATTGATGTAGCCATTCTTTTTTGTAATGGAGAGGAGGAGGAGGAAGATGAAGCCTTTTTATTTAAAGATACAATCGAATCAATCATTTAGTCACCAAATAAAGGACCGAAGTTAGTCCCGGATTATAAATTGGATTTAAAGAAAGGAGTTACTTAAAACTTTTTATTGGAATAAAAAGCTAGGGAAGGATTTTGTTTTTATAAAAATTTATGAAAATGAAAACAATAAATAGTCTTTATTCCATAAGAATAATAAAACACCAAAATTTAAATATTGTACCGAGTAAACGAGTAAAAAGGTTGCCAAAAAGATTTGAAATATCTAGTCGAAAATTTATTAATGTATATATTTAAAGGATTTTTAAATTTACATTAAAATCTCTCAAAGGTATAACTAGAGACTGATTCAATTAATTCTCTCAATTTACCGTATATGAGTGGGAAAGGGAAGAAGAAGAAGAGGGATGCTTTCTTGATTCAGTTCTGATCATTCTATGCTTCATAATTAATGAAATATTTTTGTTGAGGGATTAAAAAATAATGGGAATAATATATGTATTTTTGTATATAATATTCACCCTATTAATACAAAAAATATAAAAAATAATTTTAGAGAAAATCAAATAAAATAAATTTTATTTTAGAATTTTTTGAAAATTAATTTTAATGTGATACTTAATAAATAATAAATCAAAGAATATATAAATAAATTTAAAAAAAGGAGGACAAAAGATAATCAAAAAAAATTTAAAAAGAGTAGGTGTAAAGAGCAATTAAAAATAAAGGTTGCATTGTTCTTGGCAAACAACAAAATTAAAAGAATTGAAAAGAAGGAAGGTAATTTTGTAAGAAAAAAAGGGAAGGAAATAGATCGAATTGCTTTTCTCGAATATTTAAAAAAGTTTGAAGGTAAAAGAAAAGGGGTTAAAAAAGAGATAGGTATATGTTTGTTGAAGATAATAGAGAATAAGGGGGTAGGGGATATTCCCCTCTAAAAATAAATGAGGCAATTGAAAAGACAAAATAATAGAAGATAAATGAAAAAAGATCAGAGTTGGGAATAAATAGAGAATTGAAAAAAATAAATAAATAAAATGATCTGTTAGCAGCTGCCATAAAAATATTGGCAAGAGATATGGAATAGTATTAATGAATCTTATTTAATAAAGATACCACAACTAATTTCGGATGTTTTACATATTAACCAAATAGGGAGGATCGAAGAAAACGTTTTTCATATCAGCAATTTTAAAAGTAAAAAATTTTACAGAAAAGAGATAAACAAAGCCTGGTTTTCATCAAAATTGAAATTAAAATATAACTAGACGTAGAAATATTGCAAATAAAAGTAGGAACAAAATAAAATTTAAACTAAAATTTGGAAAAAAAATAATTTTCACTTCAAAAAAACTAAAGAATAAAAGCTTCATATTAATTTAATTTTTTAAATTAAAAATTTAAAAAAATTCCCCCACCTCGCCTTTTGACTTTTGAGGAGGTTCATTAATTGTTACAGAAGGTTTTTTTGAATCCTTCTTTTGTGGTTGTTCAGAAATAGATTCTGTTATATCTTCATCAGATTCTTCCCCTCCAGCACCTCCACTCATTCGAATTAATTCCTTCCGTCGTTCTGGAGGAATTTTAAGTCCAGACGAGGGAATTCCATCTTCTCCTGTTACTACCTGAAAATTGATCTTGAAATTTTTAAATTTTTTAAATTTTTATTTTATGTAAATAACCCATAAATTATTTTAATTTTATTCCCTTTTTAATAACAAAAAATTTTTTAATTGTTTTCAATTTTCTACACCAAAAATATGTAAAAACAAACATAAATCACTTAGTTTAACAAAAAGTGCTAATAAATAAAGTTATAATCAATCTTTTTTCTTCAAAAGATTTCAAGGCTAAAAAATTGAATAAATTGGAAAAGAATTTCAAAAATTTAAATTACTTCACACTTTTATATCAAAATTGAAATTTTTAAAGGTGATGGTGGATAGAAAAGAACTCAGAAGTAATGATAAGAATTGGATAAAAAAATATAGGTATATTAGTTATAAAAATATAAAGGAATGTTAATTGATGTATGTAGCTTTGGAAGGTTGACTCTTTCGCTTCCGTTTTTCGTCTTCCAAATTAAAAAAGTATCCACTCCTGATGTGAGAGATTTTGGACAAAAAACAGTTTAGGTCTATAAATCAGATATATACTAAGTCCATTAAGTATTGCTATATCAAAATAAGAATGCAAAAGAAGGAAAAAATAATTTTAAAATTAATTTTTAAACATTTTCCCTTTCCATACAGAATTTCCATGTCGATTTGCCTCAATCTGCCGGGTTCCTTCTTCTCTAAAATGTTTACTTTTTCTTCTTTCATTATTTTTAATTGGAGAATTTTGGAAATCAATTAATTCGTCCAAAAACTTTTCTTTAGCCTGTCCACTTGGAAGTTTACTTAAAATAAATAAATGGACATTAGATAATCTTCTTTGTTTTTGTGCTCTTTTAATTGCCTTAATTTCCTCATTTTCTTCTTCTTTTTTTATTTTTATTTTTTTATTTTTTAAAGGCAAACTTTCTTCTTTAAAATTTTGAGAATTCATTTTATTTAGGAAAACATTTGTTTAATTGTTTTGTTATTGTTTTTATTTAAAATTTTGATGTTTCGATGTTTTGGAGGTGTTTTGGGGATGTTTAAGTGATGTTTTCGGGATGATTTTGATGGAATTTGTTTTAATAAAAATATTTAAAACTTTTTTTTATTTCACAACTTTCTTTTAATCGAAAAAAAAGCTTTAATAAAATGTATCGAATTTTGAGGTTTTAACTAAATAAATAAATAAACTTTTTTTACAAAAATTTATTTTTGCCTTCATTATTTAAATAGAAAGGAGTCTTTTTTAAATTTTTATCGAGGAAAAAAAGAAAAGATAAATAAATTCTAAAATAAATTAAAAATTGATATTTTGATTTCTCAGGAGTAAAATAAATTAATTTCTAAAAATAATAAAGTGAAAATAATTAAAAATAAAATAAATAAAATTTTAGAAGAAAAAATTAATGGATTAATTAAAAGAAATTAAATATAACACAAAAAATGGAATTTTAATATTGAAGGAATTAATTTCCCCAAATTTATTTATTTTTAGAGGAAAAAAAGACTAACCACTTCTGTTGGCACTCGACGTTCATTAGTTGTTGAACCATCAACTGATGGAGAGGGACTCTAAAAAATATAGGAATAATTTTTTAATTTTCAAATAATTTAGTACATGTATTTGAACTCTCTTTTCAGGCACAATTTGGTCTTCATCTCCTTGGGGTTTTGGAGATTTTGATTTTCGACGTTTTTGTGTTTTTTCTTGAATATCCAAATCCATCTTCTTTTTTTCCTCCTCAGAGTTTTCCCATTTAATCATTGCCGAACTTTGTGTCTCTCCATAATCACTAATTGCTATACATTTATATAATCCACTTTTTTCTTCAGTCATTCGATTTATTTCCAATTTAGCTATTTTTCCATCAAAAGTAGCTGAATATCCGCTAGTTGATGTACTGACAATTTTTTTGCCGTCTCTGGAAATTTTTTTTGAATTTTTAAAAATTTTAAGTGTTGCCAACTTTGTCCAACTAATTTTTGTTGAAGTATGGCATTGCAATTCGCATTCCAATTTAACTGATTCATTAGTATGAGCAATCTGAAATAAAAATAAATTAATTTAATTAATTTAAAAATAAAGATAAGAATTGTTTCTTTAATTATTTTTTATTATATTTTAAAATATAAATTTTAAAATATTATTTCTAAAATTAAAAAAAAGGAAAAATTAATTTAAAATTAGCTTTATTATTAATTATTTACATGTATTTTCTACTAACATTCTTTTTTTGTTTATTTTCTTTAGCCGGTTGACCAAAAATGATCAAAATACACCTAATACCAGATATAAGACATTTAAGGACATTTTTTAATTTTATTGGAGTGGAGATAAAAAACCAAAAAATCTAAACGGTTTTTTGGATATACTCGATTTCCCCAAAATTCTTTTAGCCCCAAGGGTAATACCTAAAATTGAGATCCTACTATAACAGATATCAATTTTTTAATTAATTATATTCTAACAATTATGTGCTAATTATATCCCTATATAACTAAAATAATCTTTTAATTTTTGAACATCTTAATTAATTCCAAAAAAATTTAGTAAAATATATTTATTTATTATTAATTCCAAATAAAAATTCCTCAATAAATTATTAATTAATTTCCTTTCACAAAAAATAAAAATATCAGGAAGTACCATTTGCGTATACTTATTCGTTTAAATGATCACATTCAAAGAAAAAAATTTTATTTATCAAAAAGGAAATTTTCTTTAATAATTTATGTTTTTAATTAAAAATAGGAGAGTAATTTGATCATCGGAGTGTTTTAGAAAAAACTGTTTTTAGTAAGCATAATACAATTAATTAACCAAATTTAACTGTTCGCTAAATAATTCTGGTCAATAAAAAATTAAATATGATTGTTTTTGGTAACTAGAACGAACATTTAGAAAAAATTATTTATATAGTTAAATTGTAATTACTTAAAAACAAATAAAAGAACAGTAAAAATTGTAAAATTTAACATTCTAATTAAATATTTCTTCAAATATTTAATAATTATTTTTAAAGAAAAATTAATCTTCCTATTTTATAAATATATTTGAATCCCTGTTATAGCTCCATCTGGACAACCCACTGGGTCTTAACAGAATATACCCCCAATTCGGATCTATGACTGATCCTAATTGAACTTAATTTTGCTTTGAACGCTTTATCTTTCGAGAAACGAAAATCGAGCGATCTGGCAACACTATTAGTAATTAATTCTCCAAAAAAGTTGAGAGACAATTGATCCTTCATTCTCGAAGGATCGAAGACATGGGGACCTCTCATTATATGTATGGTTTATTAGATCAGATAGAAATTGTGGTTTATTAAGAAATAATCTTTTATTCAAAATTTTTTAGAGAAAATAAATATTTCTTTGAAAATGTTTTCTAATCGCCAAATAGTTTTTCTTTTATTTATTGCTCTATTTGTTGGGTTTTTTATGCTAACAACGGAAATTAATGCAGAGGATACAGGATTATTAGGTATTTTTAAATATTAAAAAAAATTATTTCGATTGAGAAATTTCGTAACAAATGAAGAGAGGATGTTAGGAAATTTTTGGGGCACTAGCGAAAAAATAGGGTCCCGAAATTGAAGAAAATTTAAATTCCTAATCTCAAACGACTTAACTCTAAAGGCTCTTTCGTTGATGAAGAGTTTAGATGGATGTACTCGGAAAAGACTGGAAAGACTAGAAAACTCTACTCGGAAAGACTCTAAAATAATATTTTCCCATTTAATCTATTAAATTTAGAAATTAATTTATTTAAAAATTATTTTTAAATTAACAGTTCGTGAAAAGCGTCAATGGTGGGGAGGGAGAGGAGGTGGAAGATGGAGAGGAGGATGGAGAGGTGGATGGAGAGGACGAGGTAGAGGATGGTGGTGAGGTGGACAATATGTTTAAATTGAATGAAGTTAATTAAAGTTTTTTGAAAAAAAAGAAGAGATGGCTATAAAATGTGATAAAAAAATTAAAAAAAAAACTTTGAAATATTTAATTATTATAATATTTAATGAGATAAAGATAATATTAAAAATACTTATGTTCTGTTAATTTTTAGTTAATTGTTTATAGCTTCTATTTACCTAAAAATTTTTGTTTAATATTTTCACCTGTGATTTGAGCGGTTCAACAACAACAGGTGCACGTTTATGTCCTTCCGGTCCTTGGCGAGCAGGTGTCTTGCTTCGGCTACGGCTTCTTCTAGTTCGTTCTTTAGGTGCTGGTGGAAGACCGTCTTTATCAGCACTTTCCAACGCTTTACGACTTTTCTTCGCTGAAAAGAAAAATTTAAGTTTAAATAATTATTTGATTAATTTAATCAAGAAATTTATTTAAACAAAAATACTTGTTCAAGCTTTACAAATTTTATTAATAAATTTTGTTTTTTTTCAAACCGCAATATTTAACAAGGATTAAAAATATTTATCTATAAGTTCAAAGAAGCCACGTTAAAAAAATATATTTTAAATTTACGTGTAGGTTCTCGACTAGTATCTGCCCCAGGGGGTTTTAACCCCCCTTCAGCTTCTTGTGTTGGTGTAGCTGTTCTTGAACGAATATGTTTTTTTGGCGATCCTTCTCTAGATTTCGATTTATGTCTTCGCTCTCTTTTTTCACCAGGAGTTCCTTCTCTATGTTTTTTGGAAGAAGGGGTGCCTGGACGAGATGGAGTTTTTGAGCGACGAGAACCAGAGTCTGAAGGGGCTTCTTCTTGTTGAAAATCCAATTTTAGGTTAGCATTAGTTTCTCCTTGGTCATTTTTGATATTACAACGATACTGTCCAGCATCGTTAGCTGTTGGCCTCTGAAATTTTTAAAAATTTTACAGCAATTAATTCTAAATTAATACTTTCATCAATAAGATATCCCTACCTATCAGGTAGAGATATAAAACACAAATAATCACCTAATGATATTTGTAGGGCATATTATATGATTTAAATATTTGAGCATTTATCTTACAGGATTAACGTAATATCAGCTTAACTATGAGTGATCTTTTAATTTAAAAATATTACTCGAATTTCTAATTGGCAAAGAAAAGTTCCATCACCCAAATCAGCAAAAACATCTTGATACAAGCCACCCATTTGAAGAGGAACACCGTCCTTGCTCCACTTCGCCTATTTAATACAAAATTATTATTAAATAACTCAAAATTTCACCTGGGGCCTTGTTAAACTTTTCACTTTACATTCCATTAGAATCAAAGCGCCCCCGTCCCTGGGCATGATTCTAGGCTTTCCAACAAAAGTAGGTCCTCTAGCTGTCTTTTCTGCCGATCCAGGCTCTTCTCCGCCAGCAAAATTTAAATTAATATTGGCATTTGATTCGCCAAATTGATTGCTTGCTGTACACTTATAAGCGCCACCGTCCGAAGCGCTAGGCTCCTAAAAAAATTTTTTAAAGAAATTTTGGGCAGGATAAAAATAAAAATTAATATTTAAATTCCTAATTTAAAAATAAAAATTTTTAATAATTTCCACTAACTTTATTCAAAGTTAACATACTTTTATGACTAAATTAGCCTTGTACAGATTTCCACTAACTTTATTCAAAGTTAGTTTAACTCTATTAGAAGCATTTATTGCTGTACCAGCATGTTGCCATTTAACATCGGGTGGAGGGTCTGCCTCTAAAAGGCATTCCATTAATAAATCTCCAGAAGCCGTCTGTTGAATTGACGGTTTTTGGGTAAAACGGGGTGCTCCCGGCATTTTTCTTTAATATTTTTGGCTCTTCTCTTTTATTTTTTGGCTCTTTTTTTTAATAATTTCTTGGCTCTCCTGTTAATAAAAAATAATTAAGTTATGTTAATTAGAAGATGCCTTTATCTATAAAAAGATAAGATGATTTAAATAAGATTAAAGAACATTTGGAGGAATTTTAAAAATAAATTATTTAGGAGAAAATTAAAATTAACATAAAACAAAAAATAGAATGGAATTTTTAATTTTAATAATTTTATAAAAATTCTAAAATATGTGATATTTTGTTTTAAATTTAACTAATAAATACCGTATTTTCTCGATTAATTCCCCTCCCTTGAATAATTCCCCCTCTCGATTAATTCCCCCTGCTATTGTGTGATTGAAACAATAATTCCCCACCCCCAAATACCCTACTGCACGTTCAAATGCCAAAACGCGAATAATTCCCCTCTCTCTAATAATTCCCGATCCCACGTATAGGTTGAAATATTAATTCCCCAGGGGAATTAATCGAGAAAATACGGTAATTAATTTAATTAAAAAAATAATAATTCTGTAAAATAACTAATTATAAAAAAATATTTGTAAATTTTAAAGTTATTTAGTAGATAGTTTTTAAACTTAAAGAGAATGTGTTCCTTCAATAAATTGACATGTATTAACGGTACTTGAAACATTTCAAATTTTCTTCAAAAGAGCCAAAAAATGATATTTTTTGTTTGTATTTTTAAAAAATATTAGAATTTATATATATTTACATAAAGAAAACTTGTAATGATTTTTTAGTTTTTAGACAAAAAAATTTAGGAATCAGCTGTTTCTGGTTATTATCAGAGTTTTTTAAGTAGAAAAAAATATATTCTTTTATAATAGATTACGAAATAATAGAATTGTATTAACGGAAATTGATATAATTTTTGCGAATTAATTTCCGGTGCCCCTTTTAATGATTGCATAAAAGGGGTATCAGTGTATAAAGATAAAAGAAGAATCCTACTTTAATCTGAAATTAATTTCTGAGGTTTTACATAAAATAATTAAAAATAATTTTTTCTAATAATTTTAAAAATTCAATCTCAATAACGATTTTCAAAAAATCATTTAAAATATCAAAGATTTATTTAAAATAAAAAAATTTTGATCAAAGGGAAATTCAATATTAGCAAATCTCTATTTGATATTTTTAAAAATATTTTTTTAAATTAATTTTTGCGAATTAATTTCCGGTTGGATTAAAACTAAAAATAAAAAGAAATTATAACTCTCTTTTTTCCCTTTGGCCATGAAAATAGGGAAGAAAAGCAATAATTTTGTTTTTGAAGAGAAAAAAGGCAAAGAAAGGTTGTTCCTCTTTCTGATCCATTCCTCTTCTCATTTTTTAATTCTTTTTGCTAAAAATACTAGAAAATGCTTTTACTTTTTGTTTTTCTCTATTTTAGTTTTGCTTTTTTTTATCTCACAAATGTTTTATAACACACACACACTCCTCAACACAAAATTTTTTCTTCGGCTGTCCTCAAAAATAATTTTTTTCTCCCTTTTCTTTTCTCGATTTTAGATCAATGGGAGGAAAACTCTGTAAATTCTCTTTCTCATGTCCATCTTAAAAACCTCAAAAGCTTTCCTCAAATCCGGAAGAGAGATCAAGACTATCTCGTGGTGAGGATATTTGAACGTTGGGCCGTTAAGTAGTAAAAGTTTATTTTTTGATATTCAAACAAAAACATTTAATAGATCCATTTAATTTTAGGATTTTTTGGGTGTTTTATATTTTTCAAGAAAGTGCGAACTTTTGTTTTTTGAATATAAATACTGTATTTTTTGAAATAAGGCATCACGCTGAAACAGAGCCGTATTCTGGAGTATAATTTAAAAATACTAGCTCTTTATTTTCTCTCCAAATATTTAAAGTCAGCCGTCAGAGAAACAAAGTTAAGACAAACAACAATAAAATCTATTAGTTAGCTTTATCCGCCCCCATCCCTCACAGTGAGGAGATCAATTCCATTGCGGACGGAAAATAGTAAAAACAGTTGGGCCATTCAAAAGTTTTTTTTGCTTTCAATTTACGCACGAACGAGAATTCTTCTTTTTTTTCTACAATTTCAAGTTCTCTTCTTTTATATTGCCAAATATCCCCTTCGGGCAAGTGTGAATATCCGATATATTTAGGGCATAACATTCTTTTCTTATTTTTTTTTTCTATTTTTCCTCTTTGACTTTAAAAAGAAACAGCTGGCAATTAAAATATATTTATTTAACCGCCTACTCTCTCCCCAACTTTTTATCGAGGTTTTTGATACTTAAAAAGAATATATGTTCCAAACAGTGTGTAAATTAGGAGATTAGATCGATCCAATTTCTTTCTGGGAAATAAAAATATTTAAAAAAGAATTTAAAAATATTTTTGTGGTTAAGTTGAAAGATTGCAAAAAATTGTGGAAAAGTTTTTTTAAAGAATTGCAACAAGAATAGATTTTAATAACGGAAAAATTAAAAGAAAACAACAAATTTTTGAATTCATTTTTTATATTGATGTATTTGTTATTTTAAATACTAGAGATTGGAGTGTGAGAGTCGCGCGAGAATCGATACTCGAAGTTATTGTTCGAGCTCACATTTCGGTCCGATCACTAATACATATCACTATCACTAATCAATAATAATCGCTATCCGACGTATATATTGATACTTCTCTCTCCCGAGAAGATAATATAAGTAAAACAAAGAAGAAAAATATATTTCCATTTTTAACCCTAAATATTTTCATTTTCCTTCGTAATTTTGCCTATTATTTAATTCTCTTAAATATTTAGTTCTCGAGTATAACAATTTATCAGCATAAGTGAAGAAAAACAAAGTTATGTAGACCTCACTTGAAGGTAACTTTTTAAGGCAAAAATTGTATCTTAAAGGAGTGAGGTCCGATTGTAAAAAGAAAAATCGAGAAACAAAGTATATTTATAATAAATTATTAAATTCTGTAAAATCATTTTGAGGCAAACAAATATTTAAAGGATCTCCCTTTTGAATCTACAAAGAGAAAAGAAATTAATTTTTAAATATTTTCAAAATTATCTTTACTTGTATAAATCTTAAACAATTTGGAGAACCACTAGCAACTAGAAGTGGTGGAAGTAAATAATTATTAAAATTATTTATTTTTTGTTCTCCATTATTTGAATAATTTGGTGATTCAGTTAAATATTGAAGTTCAGCAAAGTTTGGATGTCCAGATGGAAAACGGTCACTATAAATTGGTGATAGATTTTTGTTGATATTTTAAAAATTAATTTTAAAAATTTTAAAAAAATCCGAAATATTAAAATGCCAACTTCCCAAAATTCGACAAATCAAAATTTCCTTTTTCTAAACCCAAAAATAATTCTCCTTACTCAATAACCAAAACTCTGTAGATTGGCCTGTTAGTAGCACTCTTATTAAACAATTCATAATCATAGCCAGGCTCTCTAAAAATATTTTTTTCAATTATTTTAAAATTTATTTTCACCTATTATTTCCCTCCTCATCTTCTTCCCTCCTCCCTCTTTTATTTCCTCTTCTATTTGAAATTATTGCTTCCCTTCTTATTTGATAAGTTTTCCAATTTTCACAAGAACTTAAACAATTAAAATTAGGCCAGTATCTAGGTCTCAAACATTCCCAAGGTTCTCTGTCAAAACGTCGAATATTTGAAATTAATTGAAATTCTGACTTAAAAATTAAAGGGGAATTTAAATATTTAATAATTATTTTTTTCTTTTTTTTTTTACTTTTTTTATTTTTTCTGCCATTTTTGTATTTAAATCTAAAATTTTAATATGTTCACTTTCAATATCAGATACAAATAAATGAGTTATTCCAGACTGAGTATTTATTTGTGGAAGATGAAGACGAAAAGAAAAAGGGCCTGATGGAAGTTTGGTTGAATAAACATGAGGAAACTAAAAGAAGAAATTTAAAAAGAAAATTATTTCTTTCTTTTTTCTTCCACCTGATCCATTAATTCTTTAGGAAATTGAAAAGTTCTCATTTTAACAGAATACCCAAATGAAGACTGATTATTATTTTCCTGATTTTTCTTGGGTGTTTTAACAATATAACCAGCTCTAATTAATTGAGTAAAGACTGTATATCTTTAAAAATAAATTTAAAAAAATAATTTTTTCAATTTAAAAAAACTTTAATAAAGAAACACGTAAATTCCCCAAAATTTTATATAATTGAGGAATTGTTAATTGTTTCCCTTTTTGATCAACAACAATTGCTCCACCAATTTCTGATAAATATAAAGTTTCTTCAATATTGAGAAAATGCCCATCTCTTCTTTGGATTCCCATTTTGTGTAAATATGAAGTCTAAAAAAGTTGTTAAATTTGACGAAATATTTAACAGGGAATTTTTAGAAATTAAACCATAAATAAATTTCAAAATTATGAAGTTATCGTTCAAATAAAACGACATAAAATTTTTTGATAGTTCTACAGAAATTTTCAATATTTTTAAGAATAATTTTTTATAAACCCACCGCTTTACGTATTGACTTAAAAAGTGGTTTATTATTGACATACTCCAACGTTAAAAATTCATTTCTTAAACGAACACCTCGCGTTGAAAAATTTGATGAAGAATTTGTTGATGTAAGTGACATTTCTTTTATAATTTTTATTTAAATGATTTTAAAAAAATAAAAATAATGGGAACATTTTAAGAAATATTTGAATATATCTATATTTTTTATTAAAAAAATTTTATAGCTTTTACAATAAAATGGAGAAATGAGACCGAATTAAAAAAAAAGTCATTTTAAAGGAAAAATAATTTTTAGAGTATTTATTTAAATTACTGAGTAAATTAAAATGGCAATTTAAATGGATGGGATTTAAAAATTAGAAAAAAATTCTAAATTTATTCACGTACCGTTGTAGACAATCAAAAAGAATCGAGAAGACTAAAAAAAGGTTTAGGGTGTATGACAAATTTGAAATTAAATGATTCCCTTGAAGCAGGG